CGCCAAACTGAGACCCGCAGAACCAAGGACTCAGTTCTTTCTCAGAGAAGGTTAAAGATTGGACTTTACAGAGCGACTCTATTATTACTTTGAAAACAATGAAAAGTAAAACACCTACACTACTTGCATTCTGTATTTCTATAATAAAAGCCTTTGCTTCTCTTAATTTTGTCCAGCTCCTAGACTTGCGTCTTAAACGTCACTCTCTCCTAATCTGCATCATTTGGTGGATTCTGTTTGTTTCTTTGTGGGCCACCTGTACGGCCTCAATAAGTTTACGTGTCTTCATTTGAATTTAAAGCCACCCGTGACTTTAAATCACTGAACTTAACGTAATTATGCAAGGTCTTTTTTCTGGCGCTGTCATTGTTTGCATACAAAAAAGTTAAAGGGACTGTGACACGCTTTTGCGCATGTGCGACATCTTGATCTCTGGTCTGGTGAACCTTTTTTTCAAGATTAGCTTTTGGTGATAACATCCTCATCCTTCGACCCTGAGATGCCCGAGGAAGTTATTATATCAGTATTTAAGAGCTATTTGGTCCATTTTGGAAGTTTTAAACGCCACATGTTATATTTTTGTGAGAGCATTGTCGAGAAAATTCGAAGTCATCGAGGAGAAGTGCACGAAGGTATTTTATTGGTTGTCAGTGTTCTTAAAAACAAATCAAATGTGGCGTTTAATGTGGTCATCTGGCTTACATTTCTGTCTATTAGGTTCTCCACTCGACGATCTACTTTTTTTGGTTAGGTTTTAAACGTTAAATATGTTAAGAAAGTTGAAAACGGTTTCCTCGATACAGCCGCGGACTACAAATGGGACGCAGCGGCGAGTGAAGCTGATCTGCGACAGGACTTCCGATTGTCTGCAACAATTTACTCTCTTGAGTGCTTGGAATCAGAAGGAGAAAACACAGCAATCTTTTATTGTGCAGGAAGTCGTGTGAGGTTTGAGGAAAGAATCCATCGAACATGAGACGTTTTAACAGGCATTCGATTTATGACTCCGATCCGTAGTTGTATACTAGAAAGTACTGTAAACAGGCCGCGCGCGATCTTTACTCATGTGGTTCACTCGGAATGTTCCTTGTATCTTTGCTGTATGAGCGTAACTATTTAAGAATTGATCTTGTAAAAATAAATTGTTGCCTGAATGTTCCGTTTATGATCTGGTTTCTTTATGTGTTGAACTCGATAACGTCCGAGTTTCAGTGCAATTCATAGGGAGTGTTAATCGCGCTAGCTGAACGCATGACTTATTTTATTCTAGCGCGCATTTACCTGGCATTTTAAGCAAAATGTTTGCCTCATTCGATACTGTGTGTTTTGTTAACCGGTCAGGGGCAGTTTGTAGGTATTTCTAAGTTTATATAGAGCAAAGAGAGTAATCAGCAAGGTTTGTTGACAAATTATTGTTGTTTGCGGATCGGAGACTGATTTGCTAGTGTGGGCTTTTGGAAGCGGGCGAGCTGTCAATAACTTTTCCGCGCTGATGAATAATCTCCAGCAGCCATGGAGAGTACAGAGGATAAGGAGTTAAACCGAGCCTTTTTATTCTATGCACGTTTTCATTGTTGAAAGTCCTTTGGCCTTTCTTTTTCATTTATCTCATTAAACTAATCTGAACTTTATTTCATCTCAAAAACTATTTGTAGGCTAAGCAAAACAGCGTCGCAAAAAAAACTATTTGATCAAGAATCGGAAGGCAAGCTAAAGAAATAAGTTTATATTTATTCTTGGATATATATTCTTTCGTTTCTCTATTTTCGCTTGCTCCTATAAATTTCTCGTTATCATTTCACTTCGAAATATTTTATGTAATTTAATTTTTGGATTTGGAAGCTTGGATTTGGTCTCTAAATCTGGTAGAATGTCAACAAACTACTGTTTCAAATCTCTTATCAATAAAGAAATATTATTTTAATGGTTTATCTGAAAATGAACTAAAAGAGAAATTACTTGCACGTTATACAGTAGTATTCTTTCCGATTCAAAGTAATATTTTTGTTCTTTGAGAACAGAAACCAGGTTAGTGCCGATCTTTAAGCGAAGGATATTCGCGCGCAAAGTTAGTTATAGATTATTTCAGTTGAACGTGGGAACTTTTCAAAAATGCAAAAATGCTCACGCATGCGCACTCCGAGATTGTCTAGGCGTCTCCCGGCCGTTCGTCTCGGATACGTCACCGAAATGCATTGACCGAGAGGGCCTGAAAAGACGCCGTACCAGGGACTAGGCAAGCCAAAAGCGACCGAAGACTACGACATCATCCATGTTAAACCTGTCAAGCCCGTTTAAACCACCTAAAAATAGCACATGACCCTGCCTTAATGGAAATCCACCGCATTTTATTCATGAGGTGAAGACAAAAGGCGATGACGCGATCGAGTTTTATGAATTCCTGCCCTCCTTAATGAGATTCCTGCCCACAAAAAGGCCTAATCGGTGCGCCCTATACTACTCTGGAGACGAGGCTCACACATCTCCCTTATGTGATTAGAGAGACTTCAAGCCTCTCTAATCTTTTCACTAGTCTTCAAGTCTCGTTGAGTTTTGATAGTTGTTGATAACATTTCGCAACCAGTCAGTATAAACGAGGACTGCGGACTGGGTATAAAACACGGACTAGGTATAAAACGCGGACTACGCACTGTGTATATAAAACTGCTTTAGAAAGGTAAAACTGAGAGAAACGGATAGCAGCCTAGCATAAAACAGTAGTCCCAGCTCCTTGCCTTACACACAAACATTCCTTTGGCTGGTCACCCAGTCTATTCTCCCCAACGTCAGCGTGGAAAAGGAAAGCATACTGCACGGGCAAGGAAAGTTATGCCGCTACTCAAGGCAGCTGAAAATGAAACGCTGAATTTTATAAAAAGGAAGAGTTAGAAGAGAATTCTATTTATAGTTTAAAACCAATAGAAGATGTGAAATTGAGAAGCAGCGAATAAAAAAAATAGTATTAATTGGTGTCAGTGAGAGTAAAATTCTTATAGATGCCACAATTCCATTTCGAAGCCTTGGGGACATAAGGAAATGAAGAACCTAGACGATACAGGGGCATTCCGCAGTGCAAAAAAGCTCTATTTAGCGGGGAGGGGTTACTCACCTATACCTGAATAATAACCGAAGTATAGCATCCAACGCTATCCTCTAAGCGGTGATGACACTATTTACACCTATGTAAACATGTACATCGCGTTTGTGACCCATGTCGTGGGTGTTAGAGACCGAGACCAGGTCCACAAATGTGTATAGAAAATAGCATTTTGGTCGGGCTCAGGATTTGGAGAACCGGGCGACACACCTCCACCAACAATTTCTGGGAGTATTAATAACTTAACGTGTTTTGCTATTTAGCGATCTTTTGATCTTATTTTACCTTACCTTGAACCAATTAGCACAGTTTTTACCAACGTAGTCCGCAGTCCGCATTTTATATCCATGTTTTACACCCAGTCCGCCGTTCGTGTTTTACACCGACCGATTTCGCAACCAGTAAATCGTCTTTTAGCGATTTTCGTCACACAAGGTACCAATTTACAAGGAAAAGACAAGCTTCCTTTCGGGAATTCAATTTATTGACAAATTATGTGTAGTGACTTATCTTGAGAAGTGGTGTAGCGTTGAAAGTATTTAACGTAGATTACTGTTCAATGAATTAATAATTACTAACGGACAGACCATTAAAAAAGTTACATTAAGGAGAAAAATTCATGCGACTCGAAAACTCCTCTCAACCCCCGAAACTTTTCCATTGGTCTTTCCACGGGTGGCCCAAGCTCGAAATCTTCACTAATATATGCACCACATGAAAAATCGGTGTACAGTTCAAATTTAAATCTGTGAACCCAACCCAAATTGATAACCGTTTTACTCAACAATGGAAGTATCAGGAGCTTACAGTAAGAAAAAAAAAACTTTTTAAAATAATGTCACGCGATACGACAAATTCCATTACACTCTCACTGTGCTAGTTTATGTCCCCACTAGGCAATTGCCAGAAGATATAACGTCGATATAACCCAGTGTTAGAAACGTTCTACACTAAGAAAGAATATTACATTCACTTGAAAATATCTGGGTACGTTCAGGGACCGCAAAGCAAGGTTGAGAGTGGGGAATACGAACCCGTATGGGTAAACATCTTAGGGGGGTTGGGGGGGGGGGCGTGCTCCCACCGGAAAATTTGAATTTTTTAGATGTCCTGAAATGAATGATAGGAGGAGGGGCGGGGGAGGCTAAGGCTCCTTTCCCCACCCCCAACATCTCAGCGGTCCCTGAAGCAATTTAACACCTTGACCAAAAAAAAATAAAACTTTAAAAATACCAGGGCCGGTTGTTGTTAGTGCAAAATTGAAATTCAGATATGAAAGCTTAAAAGCAAATTTAGTATGATTCTTGTTGTCTACAATTGGACGACTGGGTGCTCTAAGAGTATGGAGAATCGAAACTTATCCGAGAAAAAGAAAGCAGGATAAAATTTTAACCCCAAGCTAACGCTAAACGGCGTTAGAACAACTACACCCAGGAGCCAAAAAAAGACATTAAACATCCCCCAATGTTTATAACTCCCTTAACTGCATCGGCGGCAGGTATTTTTCGCAATTGTACAAAGATATTTAACAAATTTAACCTCGTGGATACTAATGTGCCTGGCTATAAACAACTGGCATTTGTCGTCCGTAGCTCTCATTGCATCATTGATATTTAATAGAGTGGAATAGTTATGAAGCCCGTCAGACACCATTGTTATGTTTTGGGACTTGACGGTACACAACGGTCATTAGCATTTCTATCATTATGATCTTGTTGAGCGATAAAAACATCGCATTAATTTATTCCGTCCTCAATTTGTGAACAAAACACGAAGGATTGAGCACTTCACAGAGCTTCCACCTTCCGAAGGCTTTGTGACTTCACTGGCAACTAGGTCAACTACGTAGTTACACCCATAATCGACACTATTGAGGTAATTTCGAAAGTGCAATGTGCGTCGCTTAATTAAGGCCATATCTCTGATACTGTAATTCTCTGAACAAGCATTCAAGCCAAATAACCTCGCCCAATACATCTACTTTGTTAGACTTGCATAACAGCGACGAGCTAAGAGCCATCGCATTAACGAGGTTTAACGAGGCTTCCGAGAAGGATATGACTGATTATTGGCTGTTTGGGTCAAAAGAATGTCGTCGTTATGACAGGGAGATCGCGTTAATGCCGTTTCCAGACAGAAAAACGACTAAGTGGTTTTGTTACCTCGGGTGGCTCAGTTAACCATACGTTCGTAACGACAAATTAATCGCATAAACGTGATGGTCGTAACCCAGGGTTTCATTGTAATAATATAAATATGAAAGAAGGACCCTTTATGACGACTGTCTTCTTTACTTGTGAAGCTTCCTTCATTACAGGTTAATGACTACAACGTCCAGGATAAATACCACACTGAACACCTTCTGCTTGAATTGTGTAGTATGACGGACAAACCCAGATTGTACCAATTGACTTACAAGGATATCCCACTCCAAGTATAAGATGGCAAGCCTCCTGAACCACAGAGAACAGTTACTGTAGACACACCTGCCAGTTGTACTATTATAGTTACTTGCTGTTTGTAACTGATGCTATCTGTCTTTTCCCTGTACAACAAAGAAAATTATAACAATAAAATCAACACAATGTCTGATTTCTCCCACACACGGCACCAGAAATTGCAAATGCCATTTCTCTCGAACAACAATGTAACCCTTTTTAAAGCAAATTGCTTAACTCTTGCAGGGATAAAGCGAACACCTGGGTTAGAGAAAAAGCCTGATGAAAACAAAATAAACACATGAATAAAGCCACTTCTGTCTCCACCGTTACACTTAGATAAGCAGTGAAGAAAATTGGTGAGTACTGTAACTGAAACAAAGCGATAAGAGTGAGCAAGATGAAAGGAATCCTGATGCTCTGATTAGCTATCCTGGTTTGTCGAGGTCCATAAACACACACAAAAAACGAAGCCTTCGCCCACTGCTACCTCTACCTAACATGCTCGGTCACTGCATATATCTGGGGACGCATCCATAGGTCATCAAACGAGAAAATATTACATATTACTGTCATAGCCTGAGGAAACAGCCGATATTTCGCAACGTAACCACTGGTTTCCCCGTGACATGACGTCTGAGAGACGTGCTCAGAAAATCCATTCTGATGACGTATCATTGCCCAGATCTGGGTAGTACTTCTGATTGGTCGCGCAGCAGGGGAAACTTGCTTCAAGCAATCAGAAGCACAACCCAGATCTGGGTAGTAACTCGTCTTACTATAGGGCTACAGTAGTACGCGCGTAATGACTGGGTAATATTTTCTTGCAATGATCGGGCATTACTAGCTAGGTGTCTAAGGCATATACAATCCGTGTTTAACTTACAGTGCGACGGGGAAAACCGTGAACACTTGAAATATCTCAGAATTGATTATTGTGTATTGTGTTATGATTATTGTGTATTGTGTTATGACCAATCACCGCAAAGATCAGGACACGCGAACTAGCCACAAAACCACAAACTAATTAACGGTCTTGCTTGCGGTTTAGTTTTCTCACGCCTTACCGGCTTTTTTCTTGCAGCACAATAACATTCCAGAAATATTTCTGGTGTTCACGGTTTTCCCGGTTTGACTGTAACAGTGGACATCCAATAGGTCAATTGCCAGCTGTCAAAAAGGGTATCCGCTGACCATTGTCACATGATTCTATCGCGGGCTCACGTGTAAAACTCATTTGAGGTGACGTGTTTTTTAAAGTTACCCGCTGACCAGTTGTTGGTTTTAATTGATCGCAGGCTCTGGTCCATGATGAAAAGGCCATGTAATAAATAACTTATTAACCTCGTCCGTTCGGTCATACAGGGAAATGTCAGACCTCGGCCTTGATATAATACATAAGGCCTCGGTCTGACATTTCTCCGTAATGACCTCAACAATAAGTAGTATATCAGTATGGAATTTATGCGCTCGTTTCTCACACGTCATTTCGCGGGGAAACCAGTGTTGGGGTCGCGAAATGTCGGCTGTTTTCTCAGGCTAATTACTGCCACAGACACAGACACGAATAAGTAACATTTTAGGACACCGTTTACTACCTGAAGACTGCTTCTTTTCGTTCTCTTCGAACTTGATTTGGAGAGCAATGTTTTAAATGATTTTGACGAAAGTGAACTGGATTGCTTTCCGTTAAGTTTGCTATTTGATTTGAGGTCCCTCATTTTAACGCTGTTCATCACTTCATAACCTTTTTTAACAGCAGTTCTGTTATTGATTCCAAGCGAAGTTCTGGTATTAAGAGGATCTGGTAACGATTCAAGTTTGTCCATCTTATGTGAATCTGATTGATTAACGGCTTTGTGTGAGACATCTTGACTCTTTCTAGCCTCCACTGCTTTTTCAGACTCCACTTTACCGTTGCCCAAGCTTGTCGAGTCTTGAGACTGAAGATCACGTTTTACCAAAGATGTTTCTTTACCGTCCTGTGGTTCGTCCTTATGCAAAGCAGCGTCATCTTGTTCTTTGTCCTTACCATCTGGCAGCGATACCTTGGTGCATAGATGAAAAAAGTCTTTATTATTTGAAATAAGGTAACAAATAAGTAAAGAAAGAAATAATTTGATAAATATACAAATAAATACTACATAAATTGAAAGTTTCTGCCCCTTGTAATCACTTTATTAATGAAAGCTTTATACTCGCCCTTCCAAATATTTTTCGAGAATGGTTTGTTACTATTTATTCAGCTAAGTTAACTTTGCAGAGTTTACTCGTTGATACTTCTCTGAACCGGAGACGGTTAACTAGTCGAGTCAGGACTGGAGCGGGCAAAATAAAGTTAACTGTCCACTAATATCATTTGGTTTCTTTAGAAAGCAAAGCGAAGTGAAGGTTCTGAGATTTTATCAGGTGTTTACAAGGATATCTAGGAGCCATCCACCAACGATAACGTAATTGTGAGGAGAAAAAGGGGTAAGCCACGCACTTAACAGACATAAGGTAGCATAGTCATCACTATTAGAAAATATCGAATTCGTTTGGTCCCTCTTCTGGAAATTGATCCTCTTGCATAAAACCTATGAAGAATGAAGAGTTTGACCAAACAACTGAACATTGCGAGTAAGACCTTATGTTCGACGTCAAGATAAGGGACCTTGTGATCCGATGATGGGGACGGCGACAAGAACGCCAACAAAACAAAACAAGAAATGTTCAAATAAGCCATAAAACAACTCTGCACTTGCAGCACACCTTTTTTCAAAATTTCTTTGCCGTCACTGCACGTCTACGCCGAAAATGCCTAATTTTAAATTTATAGAGGACGTAAGCAAGCGACGAAGAAATTTTCTTTCTCCTTCTAACTTGGATATAGTTCTTCGGAATTCAACTCCAGGAGAGTTCGGCTAAATTTGTTTGCCTGAGTGAATACGAATAATCGCGATGAAGACTGAAAAAAAAGAACGCGAATTTACTTTCTAAGCGACGCTTTCGCCACCTTCGCCGTCCTGGGATCTTAAGGTCTCCATTAATGCACCTGTCCCTTAAATATAATCATTTATTAATTACCTAAGTAAGGCTGCCCTATTTTTTAGCCCTCAATGGTTATTATGCGCAGCCTGTACCCTCTCCATATTTTATCTATTGTTTTTTTTGTACCATGTAAATCAATGTAGGGTACAAATAGAGTTGTTGTTGGCCCCCGGATGGATATTGTAAGTGAGCAGGATTTATGAGGAACTAGTTCCAAAAGTAGCTCAAAGGAGTAGAGGTAACTCTCTCAAGAAAAACGAAGACTGATGGCCAAGGATACAACAATACCGGCTACTGACCAATCAAACATGACAGCAACCAGGATAGAATTGCCAACACAAAACTACAGTGCAAACACACAGTATTTGTACATGATATGGTGTTATTTCGTTTTGTGGTAAAATTTTTATAAACAAAGTTCAAAAGCAAATACTTCGGTATTCTAACAAGTGTTTGACAGTGACAGATTGTAGTATAAAATTATTCTTTATTTTCATTTTTCTCAGAATTATTTGAACATGAACATTAAGTCAAACATCATTTCTAATCACTCACTGTTAAGAGGCTAAGTAACAAACCTCAAATAATGCTATTAAAAATTTATGCTTTTAAAGTTTGGATGTTGTCAAAGTGAACTTGGAAAATCGCGGTTATCCTTTCCTTCAAAATCATCAGTAGAATAATATCAAAATAATTATTATGCTTTATTAGATACACAGATTTAGTTTCATACAAATCAAAAAGCAATGGCTTCCACATGACCTCAGAATTGGAGAAACTCATGCTCAAATAAAAGAAGCAATTTTTAGTTAGAATTTCTCAAGTAATGTTTCGCCAAATAATCTATACTGTATACCGTTGATTATGCAATATTATTATATTAATAAGCTTTAAATATTTTCCAATAATTTGTTACTTTTAGAATTTTTAGATAGCCTTGATAATGGTATTACGATGACCCCGAAACGTCGACTTTTACACTCTTTTTTACTTTTTTAAAACTGCTTCACTTTATCACTGATCGCTATCATCTTTGATTAACAATTATAATAATAATATAATTATTATTATCATATGCTTATTATTATTTGTAACAATGATAATTTACGAATTAACCAGTGCTTTGTGTTGCTACAGTGCATCTTGGCCATCAATCTTATCTGTGTATGCCTTCTCTCAGACTCCACGACAACACATGAAAACAAGAAATAGCTTTGAGCACATGAGATGAAAAGTAAACCAAAGTATCTTTATATACAGAGTAACTAGTCGAATCTAATAACAGATTAGATAGTCAAGACGATAAGTTAAATGAATGTTGATATTTCGACTAACCTTATAAAAAAATTGTTGTGGCCTATTTTTGTTCCTTAAAGTGCCACGAAAACTGTTTTTACAGGTAAAACTTTTAGAAGCTGCTTGATTTGATTTTCACCCTCTGTTAGCAGCAGACATTAGTACGGGCAAACGAAACAAGTCTCTCCTGCTAAATTCTTACTCGCAAGATTTGTCTGTAAATGTTCAGCTAAGTCAAGGCAACTGTTACATGTAAACGGTTTTTCGTTTAATTTGCAAGTATCATAATTATGGTTGGGCCAAGCACCAAATCAGGAGATTTTTTGTTTATTCGTCTCTTTCGTGCCGATTACTACGAGTATATGACTTAATTTCTTTTCTAAAGCTTAGCTTAAGAATCACGTTCTGGCAACTCCGCAAGACTTTGTGACAAGCGAAATGCTTACAGAAGAATGAGACTATCAAGGCATTGTTTAGGTTTTTGCTGACTTATTAACCTTATCTGAGTGCTCCAGCTTCTTCAGTTCCTCATCGATTTCTTGTTCGGAGACCTTAACCTGGTTGGTATCAGCGACATTCCCAGCAGGAGCCTTCACTGCTTGATCATTAGTATTTGCTGGTTTTTCTTCTACTCCCTGACTCATCAGCTGACGCTTTTCATTTAGATGTCCATCCTCGCTCTTTCGCTGATCAGGTGCACCTTGTGCTGGGTTATCTTGAGGAGCATGGGGCACTGCTGGTTCTTGCCTTTTCTCTTCACCCTCAGCTGGTTTGACAGGCTCGTCAGCCCTCTTTAGTCCTTCATTTCCAACAGCATCAGCTGGTTTTACGTCTGCAGCCTGTGCCTCAATTGATTTTCCATCATTAGCAACAACCTTGAGTTTGTCATCTCCACGTTGAATGCCTCCACCTAAGCCAATCTGGTAAATACAGTGTACATATTAATAAAAAAACACACCGCTTTGAAGGGACAAGACAATGCTACAATAAGTACACCACTGCACGGTTTGAAAAGTTGTACTGAAACTCATTAAAGAGGGTACAGCTGAACAGTCATGCACCTATTGTAGTTAGGTTCATTTTCATGAAGATGAGGGTATTTCCTTGATCATCAGTGGTTTTCAGTATCCATCTCATTATAAGCTGGCTTAGGAGAATTGAACAAAATTTACAAAAGACGACTTCTTCCCCCAGTTACAAACGATTCCTCACAAACAAGACAGAAATTTCAGTGATGGCAACAACGAAGGAGATTCTATATTGTGTTTTATGCCAAACATACCATGTTCCCTGTCGAGCCCGACTTTATTACAAACTGGACTTAAGGTGGCTGAACACAGTTTTGGCAGTTTGTGAGTATATGTCATTTGCCAAATCATGGCAAGAGAAAGGCTACAGCTCACAAGCTGAAACTTGGCAAGTGAAAATATGCTGATGAAAGATTTTGATTGACAGGTAAAATGTGACGTCTTCGTAGTTTCCATGGCAACATGAACGATTGAATACAACCTTAAAATTTCAGTTTTGGTCAGTTTACATAAAATTCGCTCATTAGATTTTCCTATAAACTTGCACATAGCTTACTATAATTAATCATCACTATCTGAAATTTATTTGACCAAACTTTAACAAACGGGTTTTTGATAATCAATAATATAATTGTACTGTAGAACTTTATTAAAAGTGTCACAAAATTCATCTGTTCCACCTCCATTTATCTAAAATACGAAAAAAGTAAAAATTCTGCCAATATCACAAAATTTTAATGAGTGGATTTTGAGAAATCATCTTCTGTGTACCATTGATTTTTTCGCCGCCATGTTTTTTTGTCTAATTTAAAACACGCGCCGTCACGCAAGTTACCACCGAGCGCCTGCAAAATTGTGTTCAGCCACCTTAAGGCATATACAACTGTATATCGACAACACATGTAAAAAGTCTTTTTCAAAACTGAGATATGTGTTTGCTTGGAATATCCTTCTTGAGCCAGACCCTAGCAAAAGACTGAAGAATAGCTCGACATGAAATGGACCTGATCTTCTGGAAATGCTGATGACGGAGGTATTTCCACGGTTTCATTTCATTTTTTCGCTGTTAGTTGTTGCAATGTTAAGGTTTAAGCTATCTGATCTTCCTGAAACGCCTTAACAGATAAGACTTTTTCCTATCCTCAACAGACACAGAAGGTTGGAAGTTTGAACATAATTTCAGCAAATTATACCTTAGCGACATCAACATCAACTGGACCTGCTTTAATGCCACCTTGAATGTTAGTGCGATTAACATTCTGAAGTGAGTCGTGAAAAGCCATTGGTTTGATAGGATCTATGCCTGGTGGGTGTATGTCTACTTGATGGTGCTGATCACCACTCTCTTGTTTTGTAAGGACAGTGTAGGTACCAGCTATAAAACAAACTGATCCTAGCAACAGCACAAGCTGCAATTAAAAGACACAGCACAAGTAATAAGAGACAAAAACAAAAAGTAAGTTGAATAAAACTATCCAAGCATAGTTAGGGTTAGTATTACAAAAGGAGTCCGACAGGCATTATGACCATTCCACTCTACTGTCTATGGGTCTGATTTGCTCTAACTTAAGTACCATAACATCTTGCAGACGTTATCACTAGAGTCTTAATGATTACAGCTGTAACTGCAATTTAAAACGCCAATGTCTTGTTATGATGATCAGATTTAGGCAGCTGTCACCACCAGAGTCCTGCTAGGGACTAGACGCATAGACAACTAACCAACAGTACACCGACAGTCAGCCATTCTGAAGTTCTTTAGCCATCATAGGAATGCAATCTGCATTACATTTTCCAGCTAGTTTGAGCAGCACACCAGCTTGCACTTCGTTTTCCGGTTTTGCATTATCAAATTTTAGGAGAAATTGGGATTTAAAACAAATTTAGGACTTAATCAGATCTGACGGTTATGTGTCAGCTAGAAACAGAAGCGTTCTATGGGCAACCTCTGTCAATCTGTCGGCCACCAGTTTAGATTGAACTGGTTGATAAAATATAGAACAGTTCCAGGTAATATCTGCAGGCCCACCTTTATTTTGACCAATACCACATCACTGATGAAACAACAGGAATCAAACAGATGACATTGCAGCCATTTGAATCACCACTGCTTTTATTCATAAGAATTTTTCTTGTGACCTTAACTGTGACAGAAATGCATGGATATTCCCTTTAAATCAAGATCTCATTAAGCCATTGCATCAGCAACCTACCTTTGCTATAAGCCTTGTATTTGTCTTCTCTGACACAGCTCGTAAGAACAGGCAAGAGGGGAAAACAAATGCTATCAAAGTCCCCATAGTAGCTCCAGTCAAGGCCAAGACAAATTCAACTATAACACAAAAAAAATACCAAAATCATCACCATCCACTTTCCTCCCCACTTCTTTTTCAGGGCAACAGTAGAAGTAAATTAGTGCAGACTACAAGTAACAGCACCTCTGCCGAGTCTTTATAGACACTGTACGAGACCACAAAGTTACATCCCAGTGTTCACATTTGCAATGCAAAGTTCACTGTTCAAAAAATATCACTGACACAAGCTGAATGGTTACCTTGCGGAAAGAGAATTCCCATCGTGAGAGTACCAGAGATGATAGTTAGTGTTAAATAAGTGAATCTGTCAGGTTGAATAAACCCAGAACCTCCAGGTAAATTCTCTGAGCTGCTTGACTGAAAAAAAGTAAAAATACACGTCATAAAAATAATTCTATCTGCAATCAAGCATCACAATGTTTACAAAGTCTTTGATTCAAAGTTAGCATTAATCTTAGGTTAACTAAACTCTGAAACCACAAATGAAACCCTACTCCATGCAGGTAATGTTACAATATTGTATTATTGATAATGTGTAGTGTTTTAAAATGTGGTATCTGTGATTCTAATCACAAACTCAGCAACATCTCAAGACTACGTACATTAAACCCATTTGCCCCATGATGTCTTTGGTGTGAAATTATTTGGAAAGAAGTACAGATAGGCCTGTCTAACTGAATCATGTTCACTTTGGTAGAGTTTAATTAATTTAAGAGCGTTACCCTGAACCAGTGAGGCATTGCCAGATGGTCGCTGACCTTAGAAATTGTTAATGGTCACAAGTGGCTTTAAGTCTACCGCTGTCTACAGCTGCATACAAACTACTCACAAATGGTTGATAACCTGCCTTAAACTGGACTTGATAGAATAGTGCCATTGAAAATTTATTTTCTTTAACTTTTCTTCCATACTTTTCGTATGAAATTTTTGATCCTTATAATATGACATACAAAGATAGGGTTAGTACAAACAGGTTTTGTCGAAGAAACAGTTACAAGTCTGTACAACTTTTCATGGGAGATTACGTTTTTAAGTTATTAGTTTAGTCATTATAATCATTTATTGTAAATGTCAAGAACATGTACATACCTCAGAAAATATCAGAGAGTGCAAACTTGCTCGCAGAGGATACACCATTAGGGGAAAGCTTACAACAACTGACATAACAAAGCCTGTAATAAAATCATAAAATTATTACAATTGCACAAACATCATGGATAGTAGCAAGTATGTAATATTTGACACTACATAAATTATTTCAGCTTCTTACCAACTTTAATCACATAAGAGGTGAACGTTTTGCCATAGTTATTTAACATGTCACCCTGGACTCCAACATTGTAAAAGCACACATAACCAAATAATCCAACCTAAAATGCAAAGCAAATTAAACTCATTAATAGAGTAGAACCCCAAGAAAGATTTCTGTACAGAAACAGTTTTATATTCAACTTTTGACCATTGTGATTAATTAAAGATAAGCTTATCATTTGACAGTAATTACCAGTAAAAGAATTAGTATTAACGAAAAGGGGATTGAAATCAGTTATATGCAAGTTTGTCTCAATTGACCAGGCAGAGTTTTTCACACCATTTAACCGTACACCAAGAAATTACAATAAAGAGATAAATGTACATTCTGGTGCGCAGACATGAAACCCGTGTGCTATTACATTTTTCTAACATTTATATTTATCAATGTAAACCACATGATTTATAATGTCATAATTAGATGTCCAAGATCCATTAGATAGCATCTTGTTAGTACTACATGTATATCCTCAAAATACTTGATTATGCTTCTTCATTAGTTTGCTTGTACAGCAAAAGTCTTGTTCTCATATGGCTTCTCCATACATGTACAGCTGTAGGTTAGTTTGTCTCCACCATCATAGTTACTACAGTAGTTTTACTAAAAGGCACATGTTTGACAAAAAGTACAGTGTACATATTTTGACTGGCCAAAAATGGGTTGTGACAAGATCAAAATGTGCCAGGTAGTTATCCAGTAGATATTTATTAAATTTAGTCACGAATTTGCACAAACAAGAACTACATTACATTTCAAGTCAGACTAGTCTTTGAGTGATCCGCACAATCTTCAGGTAAAAACAATTTAAAACACCTTAGAAATGAGGTTCCTAAAAGCTCCTAAGCTTTATTATAGCTTGCTACAATGAATTAAAAAAGCAACTGATTAATAACTGATGGTGTAATTAATTAATTATCCTAGTCGTCAAAAAATTTTTTGGGACTATAGTCAAAACGTCTTTTGGAACAGTATATATGCTTGTCCTTGGTGCCCAAAGGGAAAGCTGTAAAACTGACTTTCCTTGCACCCTGCTCTCCTGACAGCCCGCCAGAACTTACCAAAAAATAAACGAGAGCCACTACATTGATCCCAGTGTCCACAACACCTTCCATATGTTTTACTGATGGGTCAGGAAGAGTCTCATACAATGCAAAAAGCTGACTGTAATTAAAACAAACACACATTAGGATCATACAGACATCTGATTCTAGTGTTGACAAAAAAGTAATATATGTCATTTAAACATGTGAATTGTATTGCAAGGGGAACATGATACAAGGACTGCCCTTTTACCATGGAAGCTGGTGCCTCTTTTAAAAAAAAGTAGCAAGCAAACAGAACAAAGAAGTGTCTTGTTCATTTCACAGTTTAATATAAAGGGAATGTACCCAATTTGCTCAGTAGTTCACTATACATCATGACATGTTGTGGGCAGCATGAGAGGTTTCTGATCAATTAGCCTGAGTTTTTCCTTTTTGTGTATGGGTAAAGGCATGGGTAAAAGAAGTAATGACTACATGCAGCGCAGCTTAGAATTGACCTAAAACAGCAAAATTCTTCTGACATAGCCCCTTTGAGCAATGAAATTGTTGAAGATCACTAGTGATGGTAGCTAGCCTCTACAATGTATGTGGTAAATAAACCCTGACTATCAATGACCTAAAAAGAGAAGGGGGATGGAGTGGCAGGAGACAAGACAAAATAGGGAGGAAAGCACAAGGACTGAATTACAATTTGCTACCTTAATATTTGAATCAATTGTATGATTGTATTCTTATCTGTGGCACCACAAAGGATTTTACATTTACAGTCAGTCCTCACAAAAAATTTGGAGAGAGTTGTAATGGTAGTTAATGGCTGATCTACAAATGTCTTTTTTGTCTCTGGCTACTGTGAACTCACAGTAATTGCAATGCATGAACCCCTTTTGTCTCCAGGAATAATACTACAGTCGAACCTCTCTAACATGGACACTGAAGGGACAGAGCAAAGTGTCCGTATAAAAGAGGTCACTATGATGACGTCACTTATATGACTCCACTTTCAGTTTTCAGTGTTCAGTAGCTAAAACCAGGCTCACAATTGTCTTTAAACTGCATTTAAATTTATTAAGTCACAGACACTGTCTTTCAGTAGCCTACGACATCATACATATCAGCTACAAAGTACTGTAAGTACAGTCGCAGATTAATCACTGTTTTAAAACGAAACGAGCTACAGTGCAATGCTGAATGTAAAAAGTTGTAACGTAAAGCACAATTCTGGAAGTGTCTTTCGTTATTTTACAAGTGCAGTAAACAGTAACTAAAGTACAAAATGTAATTAGAAAAAATCTTTATGCTATCTGTAGTTTTTTTTCCCCTCTGTACACCTTTTGCAAGTAGTTGTTTGCTATACAGCAACTGGGCTTTTGAAATCACCTTGCATAGCTCATCAGCTAGATGGGATTCACCCCATGCAGATTCACCTGATTGGGATTTGGGATTCACCTGATCACAGCAGTGTCGGTAATAAAGAGGTTAATTTTAAATGAATTTACTCTGTGGGGTGGAGATTTAGTATCCGTTTTCCACATTAGAGAGAGGCCGTATTATAGAGGTTTTTTTAAAAGACAATAAATGAGAAATTTGTTGGGACATTGGAAACTGCCCATAATAGGCAGTTGTGCATATTAGAGAGGTGTCTGTACTGAGAGGTTCGACTGTAATCTAATTATCGATTTTTGAGAATGATTTGTACCATGACGTCCAGTAAAGTACTTACGGTTGGCAGGCAAAGGCCAGGGCAAAAATGGGTACATAGTTCAATAGTTTCTCTGGTCGCCAGTAATTCAGATTGTAGATCCAAGATCCTTCAACAATTCTTGGTAAAGCACTAAAAATAATCTGTAAAAACAAGAAGCCAAGAAAAAGGATTGTTGCAAAGTTTAGCCACTGATGAGTAATCTTTCAAATCCATGATCATTTGACATCACCTGGTAGAACTGCACAAACTTACCTGCACAACAAAGAATGCGTAGAAGAACAGTGAAATAGCACTAAATGAAGATAAACTCTTCAGATTTCTCATCATTGATAGAGGTAAACCAACACCAAATGCAAGTAACGTCATAAGAATTGCTCTAACTGTCCAAGTCACCTGGTAAAACAAAATATCATTTTTAATAAGTTCATAACAGGATAGATGAGTTTTTATTGGACATCACATGGCTAAGATACGTTTCTTTTCAAAACCCTCTCTCAGACTCAAGGTAAGATTCAGAATCCAAAACTTAGGAGGAAAATCTGAGAATAAGCCATGGAAGGGGTGGGAGTTAGAGGGGGAGGAGATGAGTTGAGACTACAGGAACCTCTTCGCAAAAAAATTGTCTTTCGAACAAAACAAGATTTTTTTAGAATTTTTTAGGTCTAAACTTTTTTGGCACAGCCATTCTGTTGTTCAGGAAATTTACAGGGCCATGAGACGTCATGAGACATAACAAAAAACAAGATTTTATCCCATTCTGGGGTTGCCAGTGTTGTTACATCTAACTGCAATTGGATCTTTCTAACCTGTTTTACCTTTTAACAGCAGTTACAGTAACTAAAGTGAATTTCCAGAAGGATTCTAGAACTCCATACTTGTTTACTTTGTGTTCCTTAATTTATGTCATGTACTTCCTTAACCTGGGTCAAAGTTCCCTTGTTTCAGAGAGACTTCCAAGAGAAGACTGCTAAAGACAAATGGAGTGCCAAAATGGCAGCAGATTCAAAAGTTTTAAAATTCTAAAAAGACCCTATTATGTTCAAATCACAAAATGTTTTTCACAGAGGTTTTAAGTCATGGGCAGTTTATAAAACAAAAATTATGAATTAGTTTTAAACAAAACTTAAGTAAAAATGTAGCTTTAAATTGTTGTAGCCAAAGAATAAGTTTCTAAAAATGCCAATTCAAGACTTAGTCCTACCTCTGGCTAACAAATTATATTGACTATTAAAGGTACAACAACTTTAGTTGGAGAAAATTAAGCACTTATTCTATCCACTTTTTCAGCAACTTATAGAGGCCTGGTGGGAGGTGAGTTGAGAAAGGTCTTGGAATATACATCCAAACAAAAGAGAACAGCAGTAAGTTTTATCAGCATTAAACACAGCTTTTCAATCTCTACCATGTATATTTATTGTCCATGGATACACCAAGTTAAGTTCAGGATAATTAATTGAATTTTACATTCTTGTGGTAAAAACCAGGTCACAGCTTGTTTGCGCGCATTGCTCTTGCCACTTAAACAAACAAACAAATAAATTCATGTCTTCTTGCCACCATATTATAATATCCTTTATAATATACCAGTAACTGTCATCTGCTGTACCAACAGTTTAGAGAAAAAATGTGCTAAATGCCACAGAAACTTACCTCGACACCACTTAAATTGTGAAATATTGAAGGCACTAAGTCTCCAATTATAACATTGAATGCTATCAGGCTTCCAATCAAAAGACCTATAATACTGGGAAATAAATCATATATTTTTGTCAAAATTAATTGAAATAATGGCATGATTACAACCATTAATTCTTTTTTATTGTCTTGACTTATCCATCAAAGAAGACAATGGTGATGTGAATCAGTCTTACACTCCTTGCCTGCAGGCTGTTACCAATCCCCTGATCTCTAAAGAAAGACAGACCACACCATATTGGATCCCCTTCTTTTTTCTAACAGTATACGCCAAATGCATTGTACATTAGAGATGAGTAACTAAGGATAATATACCTATCAATGTAAACCCCGTGGGGGGGGGGGGAGTGCGGGCAAGGGGTGGGGATTTGACAAATTTTAAAATTTTTTGATCAAATTCCCCAGGGTGGGAAACGAAAGGTCAATCAAAAGTGTCAAAAAAGCCCCCAATCGAGGCTTACAATCAGATGGGAACTTGAAGATAAAAACTTTCTCAAAATAGACATTATCTGTTTAGATGACAGTGTACATGTAAAGTATCGGATTATGGCGATTAAAACAAATGAAAACTTCATAACTTTCTCCAACAGCGCGACTTTCAGAAAGCCTTGAGGGACGGACTTGGTTACCGCTTCTGAATTGATACCAGGCTTCTATCGGTCAAAGTCAAATGTCCCGACCCTGGGGTCGCTTCGCACGATCAAAAGCCCGACAGGGGGATAGTCTCAGGCATCAAATCCCCGCCCCTTGCCCGCACTCCCCCCTCACGGGATTTACATTGATAGGTGCATAAGTTAGTGACTAGGCAAATGGCTTAAATAATGTCATCAGCTGAACCACAATGTACAGCAGGGTCATAAATCAAACACAGCACCATCTTAAGAAGAGTTTTTACAGCTATAATGGACTTTGAAACTTACCCAGAAATTTTACAAGAAAAACACCTTTTGAAGCTACTGTACACCTAGTCAAACCATTATTTTTCTGGTCACTATCATGCCAAAAGATTCAGACCTCCCCCCCCCCCATTTTGTTTACAAGTTCAGCACTACAATGCCTTCTGTTCCTCAAGCTAAACTGTGGCTTCTGAATTTCAGGGATGCACAGAAGGCAAAATTTTAAGATGGTTCGCTTTCTCGCCTCCCCGTTTCTTGTGCTTCTCTTTGACCTTTCCCTGTCATTTCTCTTTCTGGGAATTTACTAGGACTCAGGTTTTGAGAAAACTTTTAAAATTGAAAGATTATGTCAAAGAAGGTCGGTAGTGGACCATCAATTATTCATTAAATTTTCAGGTCAATTTTCATTTTTTCCCTGGCCTGCTTGACTGAATCCTACTCATTTGTGTATGGTTTTGAAAGATCCCTCTCTCCTGCACAAGTTAGGTGTCAAAGTTGTCTATGATTGTTAAAACTGACAATGTCTCAAATGGTACAACGGACAAGGATCATCTACACAGGCAGTTACGGGTTGTTCAGGAGTGAATGGGTCAAAGAGATGTTCATCTTTATCATTTTTGGCCAATGAACTCCAGCAAAGTCCGACTCACGGACTTTGTTGTGATAATAAAACTTTAACACATTACACAAAATAGCAGTGAACAAGCCCTGTGAATTGCTACACTGTATTTGCTTGGGAGTTTGATTTTTTTAACACTGTGGCAGTGGATAGACATTGTCAAAGCACTGTTACACATGGAAAGCCTTACACACAACAAAGCATCTTGAGATTAAGCTGCAGCCAAAACACTCCATTTCCACAATTATTCATGGATTGATTAAGGAACACCACTAAACAGAATCATCACAAGTATTTCTGAGGTGATTGCTTTTACATACTGGCAAACACTGGTGTGCTAATTCAACTCTCAATCTGGAATTACCTTATTTCTACAGCTAATTTTCCTGGTGCTCCATATGTAGACAATGCTAAAAGACAAAATAATATATAATTACTTATTATATAAACACCAAATAAATTCCAGGTCAGCTTTCACAAGAAAACGTGATATCTTCACATGTGGAAATAACATGTATCTTAGCATGAGGAATGATCATCATTACTATGGTTACATAATAAATCACGCTTTTCAGCAAACAAAAATCCATTAACAAAGTGAAATGTTTTGCTTTTTAATTCGTGTTAATCACAAAAAATAGAACACACATGTAACGTGGCAGACACAAAATGTCTCTTCTTGAGTTGAAAAATTATTTCACTCGTTTGTCATGCTCACTTGTGAAATGTTTTTCAACATTCAAAAGAAAATTCTCTCCTTCCCAATCTCTGCATGGCCATGCGATATCCTCCATATCGATGAATAGATGTACATGTACAGGGTACTAGTAAATGTGTCCTGGCTATTTTTACTATTTGTGGTGTGAATTATAAAATAACATTTATTAATTTATTTTAAAATAGTGAATATCTCTCTCAAATTATGATGCCAGTGAAGTAAAATTATCATACTTAGTAGAATCCTGTTATAAACTCAAACATGGTAATAACTCAAACTTGTCTGTAACCCAGGGCCCAAACTCATAACAAGACCAAACCAAAGTAACGAAAAGCATTACAAAGACAGGGCTAAGTACCAACAAAAAAATAAAAATAAAAATGATGGCAGACAATACAAACATTAGTATACGTACAAATCGTAAACAAATAATTTGATGATAACTATACCGGTAATTACACTATACCACGTACATGTATCAAGCGAAAATATTGACTTCGGATTATAATTTTGGGTTCTCTTAATAACTGTTCATATCTTCATGTAGCGAGCAGCTTAATTCTACATAGTCGTCCAAGGGGCAACCATGTTCTGCGGTTTGGTCATCAGTGTCAAATTCTGATTGTCTCTAATGACTGGATGCCCTTTATATTGTAATTTCAAACTCTGGATTTAAAATTTCTAATCCTGAGGTCAAGTAGTTCAACTCTGATGTCCATTTCAAAGACTAAAATAATATTTTTTACAGCAACAGAGCTTTCATGGACATCACACCGAAGTTTTGGAAGAACTTACATGTACCAGATATCATTAACCCATCCCTCTCTGTGGAATGTTTTAAAATCAAGATTAAAGACATTTTGACAAAAAAAGACTGTAAAAATGAAGCACTTGTTTTAATGGATTTGAACCAAACACAAATCTTGATTAATATTACTAAGTGTATCACAATTAATTCTAGTTAACCACTTACCAAGCCCCTCATAGTTTCTTCGCCGTGCTATTTGCCCTGCTTTAAGCAATAGGCTACATGATTTTTTGGTGAGCCATGCACTGAAGGCAATTGCCACTGCACACAGAACAATACCACACTAAGGAAAATAAATGAACCGTATGAGGTCAATTTAGTCACGGACACTAAAGAAGCAACAGGCTGTAATGAAACTACCTTGCATGAGTAGTGATCAAAGAAAAGGTATTGATACAATTCAAATGCTTTACACTAACTAATATTGTATTGATACCCCTTATACACTGTAACTCAACTCCCTTTGTACTGAATTCTGTTGTGTTAAATTTAATTTCTATGACGTGGCATACTTATTGTTTTGCCTTTAAATAAACCTCGGCTAAGATGACTGGTTTCCTAGTAATGATTATTATGGGATTTGAAATAATCACAAAGATTACTATCATATATGTCTTTTAACATGAGTATCCAGTTACTAAATTACTAAGGAAGAATTTATCAAGAGAAAAAGAAAATACAAGTGTGTTGTGAAGCTTGTTTGACCAAGGATTATAAAATGTTGTTCACAACTTTGTGCTGCCTGCCGTGCTAAAGAAAACTGACAAAAGCAATATGGGACAATACCCAAATCACTGTGCACATGCTTTTTAGCAATGATACATAACTGGTACATCAGCTCTGATGGGAAGGTGGCCAGAATAATTTAGAGTCGTTTTATTTCAATAATTTGATTGATCCCAATAGCCTGGTGCATAAAATCTCAGATTATGATATTCAGAACCACATCCTATGCTGGATTGCTGACTTTCTAATGGACAGGTGACAGAGGGTTAAACTGGCCCAGGATTGCTTCTCTGAGTGGTGTTACATCCCAGGCGGCTTCCCTTGGTGGAGAAAGTTAAGGCCTACATGTACCTGGCTCTTCTTAATAATGATTAATGATTTGAATGCAAGAGAGGCAGATATCTGGAAAAATGTACTAGATGATACCATAACCTATGAGGTGTTTCATCAAGTGGTAGATGATCTCGCAAGGCAAGCAAGGGATGAAAGATTTCAGTTAAAAGAAAGGAAATGTGAAGAGCTCAGGATTAGCTTTGCAAGGAATGAGCCAGAGTTTGAACCTATGTGTGTTAACAGTCAGACCCTAGTGACTGTGAATACTGAGAAATTTTTAGGACTTAATATTAGCAGTGATTGAAAGTGGAATGTCCATGTGTCTGAACTAGTCAGAAAGATCTCAACAAGATTATATTTTCTGAGACAGCTTAAGAAATCGCATGTTGCTACAAGAGAGCTAATTCTATTTTACATCATGTGTTTGCTCTAGTCTGGAGTACGGCAGCCCAGTTTTTCATCGCCTTGTACCAAGTTATCTACGCGAAGACCTAGAAAAGCTGCAAAAATGCGATATGAAGAAGTGTGGCAAAGTTGTTGGATGAAGTTTGCACTAATCAATCTCAGAGTCTCCACAAACTACTTCCAAGTAAATATCAGCCAACCTACTCTCTGAGAGAACACAGAACAGTTATTTGTCTAAAGTGTAAAACTGAAAGATGCAAGAAAAGTTTTCCAGCATTTTGGTGTTATATGTTTACAGTAGTTAAGAACTAGAAGTAATTTGTTTCTTAATGTTAGGAAATTGATGCATGCTTTTGAATTTGTGATTTTGTAACAGCTTTAAAATTATAAATTATGCCGGATCATCTTTCTTTATTAGTTAAAAATTATTACAGTTGTAAATTGTAAATTGTAATAAGTTGTAAATTACTACATTTGTAAATTTTATTGCAATTATTCAGTCCTCGCCTGCAAGTTTTTAAGGTGAATAAATAACTATCTATCTATCTTACTTGGTGAAAAAGGGTTTGGAAATAGTTATAATAGATAATAGATAACAATACTTGTAATAACTAAAAAATTAAATTGCCACTTGAAACTGTATAATTTATATTACGTAAGTTTTTAGTGTTAGCTTTGTCACTTGACAATGATGTCATGGCAACATCGAAAAGTTGTGTAAAACTTTTTTCGCTTATTTTTATTCTTACATGTAAGTGTTTAACAAAATTTAACTTGACTCGAATACTAAGGATTAATACAGATAACTCTTAAGTTTTTAAAATCTCCTAGAAAATGGTGGGTGAAAAAAATATTTAAAAAGTTTAAAAAAATATTATTGCCACTTATAAACTTGCAATTATTTAAACTTTGAAAAAAATTAAATTAAACATGGGCCACTACATGTACATGTGCTACAATAGAAAACAAATCATGATTATAAATTATTAGTGTGGGGTAGCCCAAGCCAGTTCCTGAACAACGTAGCCTCTGAACATCTCTACGTAGCCATCATTATAAATACTGCCCCCACTCTAATGTGTTTTACTCAACAATATTTACAACAAATAGCAATCTAATCATCAGCTAACTAAAAAAATTCTTCAAAGTGACCTTCAAAAGCCTAGGTAACTTTATCATACACACACTAATTTTTAACCATCAGGACTCCAGTACGTTTGAGTAACTGGGCTTATCACTAACCCCTTTTTCCCAAGTATAACAAGCTTCACAACATAATTTTCCCTTAACAAATTAGCATGCCTGGGGTTTTTTACCCAAGAAATATTGATAATAATATTATTTCAACTTAAGTGCTAACTTGTATAAACAAATATGAATGATAGACTTAGTGATCCTTTAAATTATTTTAAAACTGGTATCATCTTGTTTGACCAAGGATTATAAAATGTTGTTCACAACTTTGTGCTGCCTGCCGTGCTAAAGAAAACTGACAAAAGCAATATGGGACAATACCCAAATCACTGTGCACATGCTTTTTAGCATGATCCATAACTGGTACATCAGCTCTGATGGGAAGGTGGCCACAATTAGAGTCATTTTATTTCAATAATTTGATTGATCCCAATAGCCTGGTGCATAAAATCTCAGATTATGATATTCAGAACCACATCCTATGCTGGATTGCTGACTTTCTAATGGACAGGTGACAGAGGGTTAAACTGGCCCAGGATTGCTTCTCTGAGTGGTGTTACATCCCAGCCGGCTTCCCTTGGTGGAGAAAGTTAAGGCCTACATGTACCTGGCTCTTCTTAATAATGATTAATGATTTGAATGCAAGAGAGGCAGATATCTGGAAAAATGTACTAGATGATACCATAACCTATGAGGTGTTTCATCAAGTGGTAGATGATCTCGCAAGGCAAGCAAGGGATGAAAGATTTCAGTTAAAAGAAAGGAAATGTGAAGAGCTCAGGATTAGCTTTGCAAGGAATGAGCCAGAGTTTGAACCTATGTGTGTTAACAGTCAGACCCTAGTGACTGTGAATACTGAGAAATTTTTAGGACTTAATATTAGCAGTGATTGAAAGTGGAATGTCCATGTGTCTGAACTAGTCAGAAAGATCTCAACAAGATTATATTTTCTGAGACAGCTTAAGAAATCGCATGTTGCTACAAGAGAGCTAATTCTATTTTACATCATGTGTTTGCTCTAGTCTGGAGTACGGCAGCCCAGTTTTTCATCGCCTTGTACCAAGTTATCTACGCGAAGACCTAGAAAAGCTGCAAAAATGCGATATGAAGAAGTGTGGCAAAGTTGTTGGATGAAGTTTGCACTAATCAATCTCAGAGTCTCCACAAACTACTTCCAAGTAAATATCAGCCAACCTACTCTCTGAGAGAACACAGAACAGTTATTTGTCTAAAGTGTAAAACTGAAAGATGCAAGAAAAGTTTTCCAGAATTTTGGTGTTATATGTTTACAGTAGTTAAGAACTAGAAGTAATTTGTTTCTTAATGTTAGGAAATTGACGCATGCTTTTGAATTTGTGATTTTGTAACAGCTTTAAAATTATAAATTATGCCGGATCATCTTTCTTTATTAGTTAAAAATTATTACAGTTGTAAATTGTAAATTGTAATAAGTTGTAAATCACTACATTTGTAAATTTTATCGCAATTATTCAGTCCTCGCCTGCAAGTTTTTAAGGTGAATAAATAACTATCTATCTATCTTACTTGGTGAAAAAGGGTTTGGAAATAGTTATAATAGATAATAGATAACAATACTTGTAATAACTAAAAAATTAAATTGCCACTTGAAACTGTATAATTTATATTACGTAAGTTTTTAGTGTTAGCTTTGTCACTTGACAATGATGTCATGGCAACATCGAAAAGTTGTGTAAAACTTTTTTCGCTTATTTTTATTCTTACATGTAAGTGTTTAACAAAATTTAACTTGACTCGAATACTAAGGATTAATACAGATAACTCTTAAGTTTTTAAAATCTCCTAGAAAATGGTGGGGTGAAAAAACAATATTTAAAAGTTTAAAAAAATATTATTGCCACTTATAAACTTGCAATTATTTAAACTTTGAAAAAAATTAAATTACACATGGGCCACTACATGTACATGTGCTACAATAGAAAACAAATCATGATTATAAATTATTAGTGTGGGGTAGCCCAAGCCAGTTCCTGAACAACGTAGCCTCTGAACATCTCTACGTAGCCATCATTATAAATACTGCCCCCACTCTAATGTGTTTTACTCAACAATATTTACAACAAATAGCAATCTAATCATCAGCTAACTAAAAAAATTCTTCAAAGTGACCTTCAAAAGCCTAGGTAACTTTATCATACACACACTAATTTTTAACCATCAGGACTCCAGTACGTTTGAGTAACTGGGCTTATCACTAACCCCTTTTTCCCAAGTATAACAAGCTTCACAACATAATTTTCCCTTAACAAATTAGCATGCCTGGGGTTTTTTACCCAAGAAATATTGATAATAATATTATTTCAACTTAAGTGCTAACTTGTATAAACAAATATGAATGATAGACTTAGTGATCCTTTAAATTATTTTAAAACTGGTATCATCTTGTTTGACCAAGGATTATAAAATGTTCTTCACAACTTTGTGCTGCCTGCCACGCTAAAGAAAACTGACAAAAGCAATATGGGACAATACCCAAATCACTGTGCACATGCTTTTTAGCATGATCCATAACTGGTACATCAGCTCTGATGGGAAGGTGGCTACAATTAGAGTCATTTTATTTCAATAATTTGATTGATCCCAATAGCCTGGTGCATAAAATCTCAGATTATGATATTCAGAACCACATCCTATGCTGGATTGCTGACTTTCTAATGGACAGGTGACAGAGGGTTAAACTGGCCCAGGATTGCTTCTCTGAGTGGTGTTACATCCCAGCCGGCTTCCCTTGGTGGAGAAAGTTAAGGCCTACATGTACCTGGCTCTTCTTAATAATGATTAATGATTTGAATGCAAGAGAGGCAGATATCTGGAAAAATGTAGATGATACCATAACCTATGAGGTGATTCATCAAGAGGTAGATGATCTCGCAAGGCAAGCAAGGGATGAAAGATTTCAGTTAAAAGAAAGGAAATGTGAAGAGCTCAGGATTAGCTTTGCAAGGAATGAGCCAGAGTTTGAACCTATGTGTGTTAACAGTCAGACCCTAGTGACTGTGAATACTGAGAAATTTTTAGGACTTAATATTAGGAGTGATTGAAAGTGGAATGTCCATGTGTCTGAACTAGTCAGAAAGATCTCAACAAGATTATATTTTCTGAGACAGCTTAAGAAATCGCATGTTGCTACAAGAGAGCTAATTCTATTTTACATCATGTGTTTGCTCTAGTCTGGAGTACGGCAGCCCAGTTTTTCATCGCCTTGTACCAAGTTATCTACGCGAAGACCTAGAAAAGCTGCAAAAATGCGATATGAAGAAGTGTGGCAAAGTTGTTGGATGAAGTTTGCACTAATCAATCTCAGAGTCTCCACAAACTACTTCCAAGTAAATATCAGCCAACCTACTCTCTGAGAGAACACAGAACAGTTATTTGTCTAAAGTGTAAAACTGAAAGATGCAAGAAAAGTTTTCCAGCATTTTGGTGTTATATGTTTACAGTAGTTAAGAACTAGAAGTAATTTGTTTCTTAATGTTAGGAAATTGACGCATGCTTTTGAATTTGTGATTTTGTAACAGCTTTAAAATTATAAATTATGCCGGATCATCTTTCTTTATTAGTTAAAAATTATTACAGTTGTAAATTGTAAATTGTAATAAGTTGTAAATCACTACATTTGTAAATTTTATCGCAATTATTCAGTCCTCGCCTGCAAGTTTTTAAGGTGAATAAATAACTATCTATCTATCTTACTTGGTGAAAAAGGGTTTGGAAATAGTTATAATAGATAATAGATAACAATACTTGTAATAACTAAAAAATTAAATTGCCACTTGAAACTGTATAATTTATATTACGTAAGTTTTTAGTGTTAGCTTTGTCACTTGACAATGATGTCATGGCAACATCGAAAAGTTGTGTAAAACTTTTTTCGCTTATTTTTATTCTTACATGTAAGTGTTTAACAAAATTTAACTTGACTCGAATACTAAGGATTAATACAGATAACTCTTAAGTTTTTAAAATCTCCTAGAAAATGGTGGGGTGAAAAAACAATATTTAAAAGTTTAAAAAAATATTATTGCCACTTATAAACTTGCAATTATTTAAACTTTGAAAAAAATTAAATTACACATGGGCCACTACATGTACATGTGCTACAATAGAAAACAAATCATGATTATAAATTATTAGTGTGGGGTAGCCCAAGCCAGTTCCTGAACAACGTAGCCTCTGAACATCTCTACGTAGCCATCATTATAAATACTGCCCCCACTCTAATGTGTTTTACTCAACAATATTTACAACAAATAGCAATCTAATCATCAGCTAACTAAAAAAATTCTTCAAAGTGACCTTCAAAAGCCTAGGTAACTTTATCATACACACACTAATTTTTAACCATCAGGACTCCAGTACGTTTGAGTAACTGGGCTTATCACTAACCCCTTTTTCCCAAGTATAACAAGCTTCACAACATAATTTTCCCTTAACAAATTAGCATGCCTGGGGTTTTTTACCCAAGAAATATTGATAATAATATTATTTCAACTTAAGTGCTAACTTGTATAAACAAATATGAATGATAGACTTAGTGATCCTTTAAATTATTTTAAAACTGGTATCATCTTGTTTGACCAAGGATTATAAAATGTTCTTCACAACTTTGTGCTGCCTGCCACGCTAAAGAAAACTGACAAAAGCAATATGGGACAATACCCAAATCACTGTGCACATGCTTTTTAGCATGATCCATAACTGGTACATCAGCTCTGATGGGAAGGTGGCTACAATTAGAGTCATTTTATTTCAATAATTTGATTGATCCCAATAGCCTGGTGCATAAAATCTCAGATTATGATATTCTGGACCACATCCTATGCTGGATTGCTGACTTTCTAATGGACAGGAGACAGAGGGTTAAACTGGCCCAGGATTGCTTTTCTGAGTGGTGTTACATCCCAGCCGGCTTCCCTTGGTGGAGAAAGTTAAGGCCTACATGTACCTGGCTCTTCTTAATAATGATTAATGATTTGAATGCAAGAGAGGCAGATATCTGGAAAAATGTAGATGATACCATAACCTATGAGGTGATTCATCAAGAGGTAGATGATCTCGCAAGGCAAGCAAGGGATGAAAGATTTCAGTTAAAAGAAAGGAAATGTGAAGAGCTCAGGATTAGCTTTGCAAGGAATGAGCCAGAGTTTGAACCTATGTGTGTTAACAGTCAGACCCTAGTGACTGTGAATACTGAGAAATTTTTAGGACTTAATATTAGGAGTGATTGAAAGTGGAATGTCCATGTGTCTGAACTAGTCAGAAAGATCTCAACAAGATTATATTTTCTGAGACAGCTTAAGAAATCGCATGTTGCTACAAGAGAGCTAATTCTATTTTACATCATGTGTTTGCTCTAGTCTGGAGTACGGCAGCCCAGTTTTTCATCGCCTTGTACCAAGTTATCTACGCGAAGACCTAGAAAAGCTGCAAAAATGCGATATGAAGAAGTGTGGCAAAGTTGTTGGATGAAGTTTGCATTAACCAACTGCCTCGCTTAAGTGGAAGGTGGGTGCCTGGGATACCCAGGGGCTTCCACTGTGGCCAGCCAGCCCCTAGATAGAAAAACTGCCCCCATGGCTGGCAAATCCCCGCAACCCAGCCATGAGCCCCCATTCCAGGCACCCGTCACACTGATCAAACAGTGGAAGGAAGAAAAATAGGGATGGGATGGGGGGGAAGACGCTAAATGAACCGCTCCACAGACCACTGCACAAACGCCGATGAACAACTTGTCCTGGCCATGAAGTTTGAGCCTGCACTAATTGAATGCCCGCTCAGAGTCTCCCCAAACTACTTCTTGACCGCTAAGCTTGTGGACCGCTAAATAACTTGTGGACCAAACTGCTAAGCTTGTGAACCGCCTCTGAGAAATTACATTTAACCAAATCTAATCAATCTCAGAGTCTCCACAAACTACTTCCAAGTAAATATCAGCCAGAACACAGAACAGTTATTTGTCTAAAGTGTAAAACTGAAAGATGCAAGAAAAGTTTTCCAGAATTTTGGTGTTATATGTTTACAGTAGTTAAGAACTAGAAGTAATTTGTTTCTTAATGTTAGGAAATTGACGCATGCTTTTGAATTTGTGATTTTGTAACAGCTTTAAAATTATAAATTATGCCGGATCATCTTTCTTTATTAGTTAAAAATTATTACAGTTGTAAATTGTAAATTGTAATAAGTTGTAAATCACTACATTTGTAAATTTTATCGCAATTATTCAGTCCTCGCCTGCAAGTTTTTAAGGTGAATAAATGACTATCTATCTATCTTACTTGGTGAAAAAGGGTTTGGAAATATTTATAATAGATAATAGATAACAATACTTGTAATAACTAAAAAATTAAATTGCCACTTGAAACTGTATAATTTATATTACGTAAGTTTTTAGTGTTAGCTTTGTCACTTGACAATGATGTCATGGCAACATCGAAAAGTTGTGTAAAACTTTTTTCGCTTATTTTTATTCTTACATGTAAGTGTTTAACAAAATTTAACTTGACTCGAATACTAAGGATTAATACAGATAACTCTTAAGTTTTTAAAATCTCCTAGAAAATGGTGGGGTGAAAAAACAATATTTAAAAGTTTAAAAAAATATTATTGCCACTTATAAACTTGCAATTATTTAAACTTTGAAAAAAATTAAATTACACATGGGCCACTACATGTACAGGTGGTACAATAGAAAACAAATCATGATTATAAATTATTAGTGTGGGGAACAACGTAGCCTCTGAACATCTCTACGTAGCCATCATTATAAATACTGCCCCCACTCTAATGTGTTTTACTCAACAATATTTACAACAAACAGCAATCTAATCATCAGCTAACTAAAAAAATTCTTCAAAGTGACCTTCAAAAGCCTAGGTAACTTTATCATACACACACTAATTTTTAACCATCAGGACTCCAGTACGTTTGAGTAACTGGGCTTATCACTAACCCCTTTTTCCCAAGTATAACAAGCTTCACAACATAATTTTCCCTTAACAAATTAGCATGCCTGAGGTTTTTTACCCAAGAAATATTGATAATAATATTATTTCAACTTAAGTGCTAACTTGTATAAACAAATATGAATGATAGACTTAGTGATCCTTTAAATTATTTTAAAACTGGTATCATTACTGGGAAACCAGCTCCATCTTAGCTTTAAGTTCAACTAACAAGCAAACTTGTTTTGTCATCAATTGCATGGATATTGTAACCCACTTGATAGAGGATTTTCATTGCTTTGCTCAAGAGAGGAACAATTGTGTGTCTGGAACTGTTGTAGTAGATCACAATATAAGGTGTCTGTATTTCAAAGCACTGTAATTATTAATTTACTGAGCTAACTTGCACAGTAGCAAAGAAATAACACTAATTATATATTTTTGGAACATCAATACCTCAGTTAATAACTCACACTTGCCACATTACATTCTGCTGAACTTTAAAAGTTAAGTCAGAACAAAAACATCATTAAATCTGTCCTCTGAGTGCAACAAGGCCGATTTGTATTATAACAAAAGCCATGCAAGTGTTTAATAACAGTGGGTTACAAGGAGTTACTTTAAAGCAGCTGGAATTTCCACTCTTGAATGGAACTTTACAAAAAAGGAGCAAGCAGATCATCAACAAATCATGTTTCATTGTTAAAGTCATGCTATGTTTGGCGCTTCGACCTTTTTTTCCCCGGAGACGAATTGTCGGTGAAAACATAAGCTTTCACGATCTCACGGTACGTACGTACAGCTTGATAAATTTTAATTGTTTACCACTCTTAAATAAAAATATATATATATCTAGGTTCGGCTTTCATTTCAATTTAAGTTGTTTTAATCTAGAGTTATAGTATATATCAACATTATTCTTACACAAGATCTATTAATTAGCCGGTATTTCAACTTACCTCTTGGAAGCAAAACGGCATCGCTAAAACGCTCACTCCTATAATGCAGTTGATAAGGTTGAATACTACAGGCCTGGTACTCATGTTAAAGAGTTCGGTTCAAAGCAAAATAAAACAAAATTAGTGCAAAATAGACGTTATAAGGTAGCTAACATTCATTTCTAGTGACGTCGGGAAACCACGCACGCAATTCGGCCAGGCTGCTATGCTTGGTATTTGTTTTCTCCAGGGTGCGCAACGTAGGAATTGTAACAACCAAAACGAGGCTGCATAACTTTTTCCCAAAATACTCTGCGATCGTTTGCTCTCTTCGTTCCTCAATATGGTGAGTCCATAGTAGGATTTTCAATCCCCAAAAAATATCTTATTGAATCTTCAACATCGTGGTAGATGAAGAACGTATTTTCAGCTAGATTCATAGCATAACCGTTCTGGTTGTTATTTATCTACTCTTAGGGGATAGACATCAAACGGAAGCACGTGAAAAAGAACGTGAGGCGAGAGCCTGCCTCCAAAAATGTCTACCTGAAGCTGCTTGTTAAGGTTAGTACTTTTCTCGGTAGTTTCTTTATAACTTATCATAACTTATGGGCGAACAGATCATGTTATAGAGAATCATGGAAACGGATGTGTTTTTCATTTATTTGCAGCTCTATCGCTTTTTGGCTCGCCGTACAAACGCAACGTTCAACAAAGTTGTTTTAAAACGACTTTGTATGAGTCGTGTGAACCGGCCACCGCTGGCGCTCTCTCGATTGGTAAGTCTTCATTCTATTACTTGATCTTTTTGCTGTTTAAGTTTATATATCAATCTAATGTCTCTTGTGTTTGTTACGCTTTTAAGGTACGAAAGATGAAAGCTAAAGGTGACATCTCAAACAAGATATGTGTTGTTGTTGGGACGATCACTAATGACCTGAGGTTGTACGAGGTTCCTGCCCTTAAGGTCTGTTTCCAAATCAGTACTTAGCCTTTTAGCTCTTCATCAATCCCTTGTCAATTATTCTTTTTCACAGACAGTGTGTGAGACTGAAAACCAGATGTCTAGCCCGTTTGAACTCAACTGCAAGCTATAATTATTTTTTTTTCTTGACCTCGACCCTTTTCTTGACTGCTGTCTACTTCTCTTGAGGCTTGTGTAAAGCATTTTTTATACTTTGCCTAGCTTAATAAGCGTCTGTTTATATCTTCCTGAGGGTCCATATTCATTTTTTCTCAAACTTGTCTGCCAGGCAAGAATGCCATCATACATTATTTGGGTTACCCAGATAAAGGGGCAGAATTATATAAGCTAAAAAGAAAGTTATTGTCACTAAGAAAGGGTTTTAACTAAACTGCCAAGTGCAACAGGCTACAGGCCTGGGCTAAACACAGTTTACATGTATTTAATAATAAATAATAATAGTAATGAACTTTATTAAAGTCTCATGTCTTAGAGCTCAGGCTCAGTGCCTTACTAATTTACAAGTAGCCATGGTCAGTCAGTTTGCCATTAAGGCAAGTTGGTGTGATTGCATTTTCCCCCGTATAAGGCAGTGGCTCCTACATATGTCACCTTTTTGTGAAATATGACAAAGCACCTTCTAAAAAACGCCAGCTCTTGATGATTGCTGTCACGTTTTCTTCGAATGGAAATTGAATGCAGTACTTCACAAAAAACTGAGCCCGCGATCGTTTTGTAGAAAATGCTGCACCATCAAAGATGGCGCCCAAACTTCATTGCAGACAAAAGCTGCTTGTTATTCACCATTATTCTAAACATTTTGAGTGGATCAGAGAAGTAATCAGAACACAGGGAAAAGGTATAAAATCATATAAGAATTTTTGAAAAGATTTTTTTGGTTGAGCAAAACCTCATTCTTCCGAAGGGCGACTCTCAAAGTGATCTTAATTGTTTGTACGAGATTGTTGTTGTCTGGGGCGACCAGACGACTGTAAATATGGGTCCCTGCTACCTTTATTTTGTAGTTGTTTAGTCTTAATTTGATTCATAAAAATTTAATATCCCTGCAAGGTTTTGGATTTGCTAGTCCTGAATATCCTCTCATTTAGTGTATGTTGTTTCTTTTCCATATTCAAGGTCTGTGCTCTTCATGTGACTGATGGTGCACGTGCCAGAATTTTGAAGGCTGGTGGGGAAATCATCACATTTGACCAGCTTGCTCTTAGAGCACCAAAGGGAAGCAACACTGTGTTGCTTCAAGGTAAGCTGCTACTGTCCTTCACTCTTGTGTATGTTACAGATTTTTTGTTGACATTTTAGTTGGAGGTTAGACTGTAGGGTCCTTGTAAGGTGGTTTGTGTGCTCTGTTTGTGAACAGTATGCTCAACACTTTGGCATTTACAGAGCTTTCACTAAGGTCCGAAGGCTGGGGATTGCTCCAGGCGACTATGGGCATGATCCCAACTACATTCATGAAACAAAAGGAAAATAGAACCAAAAGAACTTCCTAGCTGTTCGATCCCATCCCTAGTACTGCTTGTAGGTCTTTTGTATGATATCATTTGTTTGTCAGTATCATTAAAAAAATCAAATCTGCAATTTTTTCTTCAATTTTGAGGTGTACAAAGGTGTTATGCAGTAGTTTGTTAGCATTCCGTTCTGCAAATGATGATAACACACGACGGTCTTCTAATGCTAATAGCACTTGATGAACTCGTAGTGGTATTCTGATGCAGAGTATCCCTGGCTTGACAGTTGCTTTTTCGTAAAGGAGTAGGTCACAGTATTTAATTTTAACTTTAAGCTACAGTGTGGGATGTGTTGTCATTAGTTGTTGTTTTGTAATTTAGGTCCAAGGAATGCACGTGAAAGTGTGAAACACTTTGGCCCTGCCCCAGGTGTTCCTCACAGCAAGACTAAGTACGTTTTGTCTAATAATAATAATGTGTTAAAGTTTTAGTTTTTTTCTCTTTTTTTGTTACAAATTTTCCACGTTACTGATTAAAGTGAAACAAAGTTAAATATTCTATTTGCAAAAAACAATTATAGGTGACTAAGTTATTGCAGGACCATCACTTAAGGCCAGGGCTTGGGGACTTTCATAGGAAACAAAAGGAGAACAGAACCTAAAGAACTTACAGTGTGCCAGCTGTTTGATTTCCCCTCTACTCATTGCATATATCCAACAACTTGAAATGTTAGTGACAGCTATGTTATAGGTACTGTAGACAATTATTGACACTAGACAGATTGGAGTTTAAATAAGAGTAGTTACCTTCCAAGGGTATTTTGAATAAGACAGTGTCCCCTTCATTTGAAATCCTGTTGCAGCTTGAAAGAAGACAAGCATGTTCTTTTTGGACTCTTTTTCTCTTTAAGTTAAAGAAGTTGTCTGTGTAGTGTTACATTTCTCAACCTAGTTTGTTTTCTGTTTTCTCCTTCACAGGCCTTATGTCCGTTCCAAGGGACGCAAATTTGAGAGAGCTCGTGGTCGCAGAAAGAGCCGTGGCTTCAAGGTGTAAAAAGAACTTTCAAACAATACAAACAATTAAAAGTTATTGTTCAAATCACGATTTTGCTTGTTTGTGTCTTTGTTAATGAATAAGTTCCGGCACTGCCTGCATCGGAGATATAGAGTGCTTTCCATTCAACCAAAACTTTTGAATGTTTGGAAAAAGCAAAATGGTACAGAAATTTCCCGGAAAAGATTCCAGAATTCCAGAAACTATTGAATTTCCAAGATGCAAACCATTGAACTGAAAATTCTAGGAAATTTTGGGAGAAAAGTTGAATGGAAAGAAAACTGCTGGTAAAATGTTTGCAAAAATTTGCGTATACCTCGCGACGTCCTCTTCTTGGAAATTTTTGGAAATGCCTTCAACCTGATTGTCAAATTGAGGTGACATTTTGGTTGAATAAGTTTTTGAACAGGCCAATTTTCATTGGCAGGCGCCCTCAAAAATCCTGGTTTCAATTTCAGCTGGATTGGCCCAGAACAAGGATTTCTGCGCTGTATTGCAGACCGACATAACCGGAGTTTAGTTTTGTCTGTTGCACAGGCTAGTGCTGGCAAGGCCTTTGAGTTTGTAACGTTTTTCGGCAAACTCTGTGTGATTGCTTGCCCCTCTCAACAGCATTATGAACACCTAAACAGTGGAATTACAAAATCTTTTATATATATATTTTTGGAATATTGAGACTACAGTCGACTCTCTATTAATAAATTGAATTGAAAATCTTTATTGATGGATTAAAGAAAACACTAGCAGGCACAATGCAGTAAAAGAGGAATTATTTATAAGAATACAAGTTTTCTTACAAACATTAAACAAAATAAAGTTAAAATGGCATCTATTAAATTAAAAGAACGCGTTAAGGGCTCCGTACAAATGGCTGGTAGTATATAAATTGTAGAATTGTAAATATCTTATTATCCACTTCCCTCAGGGCTTTTCAGGGATAATTTACAACACTGGTTAGGGGACTTTGCCAGACTGCTTAACGTGCAGTTTACAAGTAATGAAGGAATGAGCAGAGAGATAGACCACTACACCGGGCACTACGTGCCCTGCTCTTTACGAAGAGAGTGGGTTCTTTAAGGTCCCACAGATTTATTACGTGTACAAGGGCTTGTGAGACAAGGAAGAAGACTAGAAAGTCTAACCGTTTGCAGATAGGAGGCACTTTCTCCTCAGTCACTTAAAGATCCTGGGTGTTGGTCCGGCCGGCGTTTGAACCTACGGCCTCCAGCTCAGCAGATTGGCCCTTAGCCCATTGAGCTAACCGGGCGGCAAAAATCACGGCCACGTTGACGTTATGATTGATCTGTACGTTTACTTGGTAGAAGATCTTTCAAACAGAGTATCCGTAATTTTTCCCCATGGACGTACACTTCGGTAAAACAGACCCCTAGAGTTGGTTCCTGCCTTAGCTACTTTCTTTATTTGACCGTAATAACATGGACATCACTCTTGAGTGGAAAGCTATCTGGCTTCGAGAGAGTTAACTGATTTTTTGAATTTGCAAGCATTTTGAAAGTTCGGAATTATTACAAAGGTTAGGATTTTTTTTTTAAACTCGTAGGCCATTCCGACCAAAGTACATGTAAATTGAAAAGACAACCACAACAATCATTATTTGAACTCACTCTCGCTAACAATGAAAATATAAAAAAAGTAGAATAAGAGGACTGGCTGCCTGGAATAACCATAGGGGCTAGAGGAGCCAGGTAGCCACTTTACTTTGGAAAAACATTTAAATAAAACAGTAAATACCAAGAAGAACTGGTGGTGACAAAAATGATGAAGACCGAAACAGATTGCAGTAAATCATCAGCCAGAGTTTATTTGTTTATGTTGCTGACAATAAAACACTTGATGAGGGTGGAACTACATTGTTTTGAACAGGTTATTAGTTTCAAGAAATTGTAGAGTAGGTTTGACACTGTTTATTCCATCTAGGCTTTTTTGTCAATGATTTCTAGATCATCTTGCCCAGGAGACCTGGGTTACAGCTGGCCTGTGTATTTCCCCCCACAGCCAAGTGAACAGCTGTGGCTCTACAACCCCATGTTATTTACCTTTTTCCAAACTTTTGATTGACTATAAAATAACCTTTTAAATCGCTTGCAATAGTGTCACATGTTTGACTTTCACAGTGATTTTTATTTCCAATCTTTTAGTAGGGTAGGGACCAAGTGGGGTGGAGTTTGGTTGAGTTTTCAAAAGTTTTGCTAATAATAATTATTATGAAACCATCACCTTACCTAAAGGGCTATTCTGCAAAGACGTGTATAGAAACAACAAATTCCAAAACTCGAAGCAAAAAAGTTTGAAACAATATTCAGATAAATATTTTTTTCGAATCGCTCGAACTTCATCAGCGATTTAAAATGAGATTGTGTTACGTAACAGAAAGGTGTTCGGTATTCCCAAGTGAGTATTGTAAATGGCCCGGAGGTCCATTCCCTTGTCTCAGTCAGAGAGGGTTTTCCTTGTTTTATGGCAATGGGCTCCTTGACGCGGCGCTTGATGATGTGATCTTCGTCAATTGTAGCCTGTGTACAGACGTCCCCCCTCCCTCAGGAAAAATGGGGAGAGGAGACTCCTCTCCCGATTTTTCCGAGGGAGAGGGGACGTCTGTACACAGGCTACGTCAATTGTGGGTTGATGTCATGTTATGTTATGTTATTATTTGTTTAGAGGATCTAGATTTGCGGTGTTGTTATTTCTGGCCACGATTGTCTGAAATGTCATCAAGTCCACGCGCGACTACCTCTAAGCCAAAAAATGTGTGCCACCACTGTAATATACGCTATTCTTGACAATGGGCTCAGGATGATGTAGCGAGGCAAGCTGCGAAGGGGTATGGTTTAATTGGCAAGGCCATGAAAAAGATAGTTGTTGCAAGTATTGAGGCTAGTAGCCAAGTACGGCCTTGTATCGATATATAATTATTAGGCTGCCTGTGGCAAAGCCAAATAGAAAAGCTAGTCGCGTCAATGGCGAAAAAAGACAAAATGGCTGGTGCATCTCCAAGAGATGATAATGGGACAGAGAAGAAAAATGTCCAGTCTGGACCTTCGGATATGTGAATTTCATCAAAGTTATTTTTAGACCAATTTAATGCTTGGTTTCCAAAGAGGTTCTCAAACTTTAATTTAGTGTTTACTTCAATGTGAAGTTAAAAAATCACTGATTGAACAGCGGATATCTATACCACAGATGATCTAGCATCAATAGCATCATCTCTGGCATCAAAATTTTCCATATATTGTCTTGGCCTCGTGGCCTAATGGATAAGGCGTCTGACTTCGGATCAGAAGATTCCAGGTTCGAGTCCTGGCGGGGTCGTACTTCCTTTAATTTTAATCTTTCGTTTTGTTTCAAATTATAGCGCAAAACCTTTATGAGATTGTGAGATAAAATAATAATTTGGCAATTTCACTGGAAACGAGGAACTGTCGCGATTTTTCTTATTTATTTTCCCTTAGTTATTCTACAACTTTTTATACATATTCTCGGACAGAAAAGTGAACAACAGTCCCGCGGAAAGTGGAATAGAATAGAATTGTCAAAGACCACCATTTATAACCCTTTTCAAGAACTTTTACAAAAGACGGTTTCTTTACAAAGGACAAAAATATAAAACTTCGACCCCGTCAAGATTCGAACAGGGGTACCCAACGAGAATATAGTTCAAAACCACTTAAACATAGCATTGTTAAACGTATCTTAGTATTTAAACGGAATATATAGGCATATTTTTATCCCCTAAAAATTTTTCGCCTGTTCGGATTTCCCAGATGAAAGTCTAGTGATCCGCAAATTATAGGAATCAAAAGTTACCTTTTCGAAAATTTCAGCCAGAAAAAAGGCTCCCGAAAATTCTTGGTGACCTTTTTAGGGTAAAAATACGTTAAAAATAGGCAATCATACCATTTTTTAGATGTTCGAAAATCCAAGGAGAGGCAGGCAAGCAAGAAGTTTTACAAATAATGTTCCGAAAATTCTAGATCTCAAATCGTCTTCCGAACAGATATTTTTCGAAAATTGACGTTGGATGCCCCTGTTTGAACCTGGAATCCGCTGATTCGTAGTCAGATGCCTTATCTGTTGGGCCACGGAGCCTTCTGTTTTCGTAGGACATTCCATTTCTGGCGAGAAAGAATTAATGTGCTGCTCAGGGCAGGTACAGTATGTTGCCCAGTATCCGGACGGTACCAGTATCCGGACACTTGAAACAAAAACTCAATTTTTGAGGCGCCCTTTTCAGTTCTCGGTAAACGAAGTATTTCGAATGAAAGGTGAACATTTCAGCTTTAAGATGAAAGTTTTGGCGATTTGAAAGCTTGCGAAACAGTCGCAGAAGACGCCGTTCTGTTCAGGTAAGTAAACTTTTCATGGCTAATATTTACGCTGTTTACTGCGCAGTAAAATTAGTGCTGCTCAGAAAAGGGAGGGTAATGTGTGATATTTTCAAAGAAACTGTTTTATTTTTAAAGTGAAGATTCTTAAGGAAGTCAGGTTTTCAGAAAGTTTATTAATTCTTCTAACCTGAGATCAGGCCCAATTTGAGCGGTTCTCATACATTCTCTCTAACGGCTACCGCTGAAATTTTCGTTTCGTCTTGCCCGCCGGAATGTAATTTTCAAAGCGAAACGAAAATAGAGCCTGATCTCAGGTTATAATTCTTCTTGAAATTCGATTTGTTTGGAATAACGGAGGCCAGAAACATTCACTAAGTTTTAATGTCATGTGCCCAGTATCCGGACAGTTTTTTCTTTGCTGTACAGAATCGATGAATTAGCTGAGTACATTATCCGGTTAAGATTTATTTCATATCAGTAACTGTAAGTAAAGCTTAGGATATATGATATAGTCGTAAAATGTAATTCTACTCAACTCCGTATGGAAATTTTCTTCACTCATTCACAGGCGACTTGATTTCGTGTGCACGGCTTGTTTCGCGTGACTGCCGAGTTTTCTAGATATAACTGAAAGCGTCTGAGTTGAACCTGGAA